AGATATAAAAACCATTACTAAACAGTAAAAAAGCGGAGGAAAATGGATGGACTAAACGGTAAAAACAAAAAAAAAGGTGCAGTGTAAAGTGGCAGGTGTATTTAACTTGAGCTTATTATGCTGATAAAATATGTAGTGACAATGATGCAATGAATCGACATGACAGCAGCCAATCGTGCCACACAAGCAGGAGGGACAGGGACATCTGGGAGTGCACAGCAGCACATTATTCACTTCCTGAGTGGGCCTCTTTTTGCCAGCACTAACAGGGGACATGACACAATGACTTATCCATGATCCTGTTTTACTTTCTGGACAAAAGAACTGGCTGTCTACTTAAGGCCAATATCTGTAATTTGAAAAACACACTGCAGGTGTGACAACGGCTTGAACAAGAATTCAGCACCAGTCAGGATACATTTTATTCAAATCAAAGCCTCCTCTATCTCTTTTTTCTCTCAACACAACATACGTACACAAACAAAAAGGTTAAAACATCTGTCCTATTGAAAAAGCACACTCTAGTCTTTTCATGCTTGAATTATGAAAGCCACAGTCAAGTTTTTTTCCCCTGTGTTTTTATTACTCTTTTGGCATAAAAAAACTGAATTTCATTTTTTAAACATGCATTCTTCCAATTTAGTGGACAAATGATGAATCATAATTTCCTCCCAAGAAAATCTATACTTGAAAATTTTAACAATATGTTTCCTTAGGTGTCACTTGATGTTACCGTAAATATATATAGCTGCTTTCCTTGCAGTCTCCCATTTCCCTGCGAAGATCCCAAGGTACTTGTAGCTGTCCTCAACATCTGCTATGCTGAGTTCTGGTAGTATAATCCCCTCAGTTCTGACTACCTTCCCTCTCCTTGTTACCATTCAACCACACTTATCCAGTCCGAATGACATTCCAATGTCCTGGCTGTAGATCCTAGTGGTGTGGATCAGTGAGTCAAAGTCTCGCTCACTCCTGGCTTGATGTCATCCATGTAGAGGAGGTGGCTGATGGTTGCTCCATTCTATAGTCGGTATCCGTAACCACTCTTGGTGATGATCTGGCTGAGAGGGTTCAGCCCTATGCAGAACAGCAGCAGGGGACAAATACTGCACTTGATGTTGACTTGTGCAATTGGCTTGCAGTTGGCCTCTAGGGTTGTTTTTCATTTGTGAGGCATTGAGTCATAGGCTTTCTTGTAGTCAATACAGGCAGTGCACAGGTTGGTATGCCTAGTCTTGCAGACTCGAGTGGCTACTTTATCAACCAGTAGCTGGTGTTTTGCTCCTCCTTGGTTACTACCGATTCCTTTCTGAACCCTGCTCATGTATTGAGCCATGTGCCTGCTCATCTTAGCTGCTATGATGCCTGACAGCAGTTTCCATGTTGTGCAGAGGCAGGTTATTGGGGGGGTTGTTGGATGGTACTGCTCCCTTCTGAGGGTCCTTCAGGATCAGGACTGTCCGGCCTTCAGTTAACCACTCAGGGTGGGATCCATCCATTAGTAGCTAGTTCATTTGTCCCGCCAGGCACTCATGGAGTGAAGTTAGCTTCTTTAACCAGTAGGCGTGGATCATGTCAGGGCCTGGTGCTGTCCAGCTCTTCATACTTGAGGCCCTCTCTTGAATGTCTGCCATTGTGATGATTACTGGGTCTTGTGCAGGGAGGTTGCTGTGCTCTGCTCTCAGGTCCATTGTTATTATGTGATGCCTCCTTCTCCCATATACTCTTCCAGAACTGTTCAGTCTCCAGCCTTGGTGGGTCTGCCCTCATGTTATTACCCTGCCACTGAGAGTACACCTTGGATGGCTCAGTGGAGAACATTCGGTTTACTCTCCTGGCTTCAATGTCTCTGGTGTACCTCTTCAACTGGGTGGCCAGGGCTGTGAGCCTTTGCTTGGCAGTCTCTAAGGCCTCAGGTATGGACAGTGTGTTGTATTTCTTAGGTACCCCTTTCTTCATTGCGCCTTTCTGCAATTCCGATAGGTGGCTAACTTCTCCAACTTGGTCTCCAACCTCCTTCTCCATGGTCTTTGCTGAACTTATAGCCAAACATCTCAAGGATGATGGTTGCTGTGGTGTATATCAGCTTGTTGGTCTCAGTGATGGTCGTAGTAGGGATTGTTCTTAGTGCTGCATTCACATCCTCTAGTAGACTTTCAGAAGGCACTTCACTTAGTCTTGGTAAACGGCCACGGAGGTTCCTGGTGTCTTCAGTCCCAGATCAGCTGCTCTTGAATTAAGCTCATCTGAGTTGTTACCCAATCTTCGATTGTGGGATGATGATATCTCCCCCCTGACCTGGCATCCTGGCTCCCCCTTGCTTGAGCATTTGTGTTGTACCTCCTCAATCTCTAGTTGTGATAGTGGATGTTACAACTACTAGTTGTTTCAATGTTAGTCTAGGTGTTGGGTTTCAAGGTATCCATAGTTCCCACATCCTCCGTATGTAACCCCTCTCACTGGGGTTACTTGTATACAGTAGTAGCATTCCAATAGTTCCCTGTTCTCATCTCTTGTCCATGAATGTCTTGTTCCAGTAGCCCTCTTATCATCAGGCTGCCCTGGCTCCTCAACACTTGACCCAGGCAACATCCGAGCTGAGGTGTGACTTTTATTTTTCCAACTCTCATTACCCACGAGCATTAAGGGCCTTGCCTAAGGACCCAGGCTGGATATTGACTGCACCCTGACCAATGTTCAAACCCCCAACCTTCTGTACCATAATCAGTTAGTCGCTGAGCTATCCAGTCAAGCTACCAGAACATAGCAGATGCTGAGGGCAGCTACAAGTACTCTTGGGATCCCGCAGGCAGATGGGAACCATGAAGAGGCCGCAAGGAAAGCAGCAGCTACCAAGTACTTGCAGAGAGTAAGGCACATCCAGAGAAGTCAGCTGAATGAAAAAACTGCTCCAAAGTGGGGCGAGTGGAGAATTTTTTTTTTTAGATGTA